CCTTAGGTGCTGAGAACTGAACTTGGGGACTGCAAGAGCATCAGGTGCTTTTAATCAGTGAGCATCTCTTCAGCTCTGGAAACACCTCTTTTGATCAGGTGCCTGGGAAGGAGACCATCTCTAATTTTTCTTGGATGGAATTATGTACAAAAAGAAGTTTCAAATTTCTGATTATAAAAGTAAGATACACTTATTGTAAAAACCTGAAAAATGAACCAGGCCTGTAATTCCAGATATCTGAGGCCCTCTTGGTCTACATATTGAGTTCAAGTCCAGCCTGGGCAACTTAGTAAGACCCTGTCTCACAAGAAAAAAAAAATATTGTATTATATAATATTATAATATATATTATATGTAATATAATTATATTATATAATGATAATTATTATTACTAGTTGTTGTATTTAAGATAGGGTCTCTCACCAAGCATGGTAGTGCATGCCTGTAATACCAGCATTCTGGATCTCTGTGAGTTCAAGGCCAGCCTGGTCTACAAAGTGAGTCCAGCCAAGGCTACACAGAGAAACCCTGTCTCAAAACACCAAAAAAAAAAAAAAAAAAAGACAATGTCTCATGTAACTTGAACTCATGTAGCTGAAGATGACCTTGAACATATCACCATCCTGCCTTCAGCTCTTAAGTGCTGCATTTAAGATGTGTAACAGCAAAATAATAATAATAAACAAATCCTTAAGGGAGAAGAGCCAAGTATGGTTAGTCCACACACTTGGATGACGAGGCAAGATGATTATAGAAAGTTCAAGGCCAGCGTGTGCTTTGTAGTGAATTCAGCCTGTGTTACATAGTGAGATTCTGTCACAAAGAAATAAAAAAAAGTTCAAGGACATTCTGACCTAAAAAAAGATTTCAAAGGCTGTATTTGTAGCTCAGTGACAGAGTGCTTACTTAGCCGTGGGTTCAATCCCAGCACATTGCAGAACACAAAACCACACATACTCAGGACATATAGAAAACTCATAAGTAAATGAAAATCATGGACAATTTCACACAAAGAGGACCACTTGTTAACCTGTCCATTTGACGGATATTGATTTGAAGGTTGAGCTAGGAATTGCTGCAGAGTAGGGATGGGTTATCTAAGCACCTCAGATGGCGATGCAAGGCTGAAAATGAATAGTCATTGTTCAGTGTGTGTTTGCTGTTACGGTTCTTTAAAAAAATGATCAAGATCATTAGAACATATTATTTCTTTTCTGTTTCCCCCTAGCATTTAAAAATTCTTCAAAGATCATAACATTTTTAATTAATTTAATTAACTTGGTGTGTGTAGGAGGTGGGAGGAGGGCATGCCTCAGTGGAGGTCAAAGATCAGCTTTCAGGAGTCATTGGGCCATGTGAACCTGGGGATCAAACTCAGGGGGTCAGGTTTGGTGACAAGCACTTTACCAGCTAAGCCTTCTATGTCACTAGCCACAAAGATATTATTCTAAGTGGGTGTGTGTTTTCCAATCACCAGGCTGTGCCCACATCATCCATGTTTGGACCATTTTCCTCTTTTCACCATGATGGGTACCTCTTTGTTCTGATGGCATGCCTTATGAGCCAGAGCCCTATACAAGAGGCTACTGGGTCAGAGGGTGGCGGTTCTTCTAGAGCTCTGGATGTATTTGGCAAAGAGCTCTCCAGAAAAGCTGGTTTTGCTGGCTCAGTCACCTTTGCCTCCAACTGTGAGGTCCCATCCTGGCTGAGACGGAATCTCAGAGAGCGGGACCGAAAGCCTGCTCAGTGTTGGATGGCTGTTTGATCACTGGGTCTCAGGGTCTTTGCATCTGTAGAATGGGTATTCCTCACAACACTCATTGTAACAAACGCTGGGATCCTCTTTTTTTGACAGACCCTCTGTGCTGAGCCAGAGCCTTGGGGGCTCAGTTTCCATCTGAGAGAAGCAAATACCACTGGGCCATGGCGTCTGAAATCTGCTAGCATGTTCAGACAATGCTCTTTTCAAGCAATGGGATGTAGGTTCAGGAAAGTTACTGGAGCCACATCCTCTTTAGGTTTCTATTGCTATGACCAAAGGCAACTTGGGAAGAAAAGGGTTTATTTGGCTTATACATGCTGATCACAGTCAATCACGGAGGGAAGCCAAAGCATGAACTCAAAGCAGGAATCTAGAAGCAGGAACTTAACAGAGGTCATGGAGGAACACTGCTCACTGGCTTGCTCAGTTGCTTTCTTATACTAGCCAGGATGACCTGCTCAGGAATGATACTGCCCACAGTGGACTGGGCCCTCATACACCAGTCATCAAAACAATAACAAAATTACAATAGCAAAATAATAATGCTAATAATAAGCATCATTATTACTACCCTACAGATACATTTATAGGACAGTTAGTGGAGGTATTTTCTAAATTAAGGTTCCCTTTTCCCCAGTGACTCTAGTTTGTGTCCAGTTGACAAAGTTAACTAGCACAATTTGTGTGGCCAGTAAGCAAAGGGATGTGGAGCGAGAGAGGAGAACTGGAGGAGCTTTGCACAGTTGCTTCTCTAGGACATCTGCAGGCTGGACGCTGTGCAGCGTGCAGCCAGCACTCTAGGACATCTGCAGGCTCTGGACGCTGTGCAGCGTGCAGCCAGCCTAGAGAGGGGAAGGCAGGGGCACGGAAAGGCGAGCTGGACAGAGGAGAGAGTTGCTGCCGGTCCTTAACTCAGCTGGGGGCCTCTGCCTCTGCCTCTGCCTCTGCCTCTGCCTCTGCCTCTGCCTCTGCCTCTGCCTCGCTGAAAACCTGTTTCAAAAAAAAAAAAAAATATATATATCCAGGCGTGGTGGTACACGCCTATAATCCCAGCCCTTGGGGAGGCAGAGGCAGGCAGATATCTGTGAGTTCTAGACCAGCCTGGTCTACGAAGAGAGTCCAAGACAATTGAGGTTATACAAAGAGAAACTCTGTCTCGAAAAACAAACAAACAAACAAACAAACAAACAAACAAACACAGATTTTCATGCAGCCCAGGCTGGCCTTGAGGTTACTAGGTAGTTTAGGGTGTACAATTCAGTGATTTAAAGTATACTAAATTCAGGGGGAAGAATCCAAGCGAAGTGTTTTCTGGCCACCATGATGTATGGGTGATTTCTCCCACCAGCAACGCAGCATGTCCCACCAGCTGGGCTCTTTGAATTCAGTCTGTTCTAACTCTTTATCCAGAGGGAGTGTCTGATCTCACAGGCTCAGTCCCAGGCCACTCCATTCACAAGTCTGGATTTCCAGAACTTCTGACCAGCCACTAACCGTTTCTGGGGATGGATTAATTTACTAGGATGGCTCACAAACTCAAGGAAACACTCTCCTTACGTTTGCCCTTTTGTTATAAAGAATTCTGATAGACACCAGATGGGGGAATGGTTAAGGCAAGGTCAGGAGTTGGGATGCAAAGGTCCCATACCCTCTCTAGGGTCACTTTCAGCATCCATGTGTTCAGCAACCCGGAAATTCATCAAATCTTGTTCAAGGGTATTTATTTAGAATTTTGTTCACGTTTCTTTTTCTTTTCTTTCTTTTTTTTTTTTAAATAGGGCTTGCTGCCAGAGACACAGATTTTATTCTTTTATATATTTTATTTTATGTATATGAGTACACTATATGCATGTACACCTGCTTGCCAGTAGAGGGCATCAGATCCCGGTATAGATGGTTGTGAGCCATCATGTGGTTGCTGGGACTTGACCTCAGGACCTTTGGAAGAACAGACAGTGCTCTTCACCGCTGAGCCATCTCTCCAGCCCCACGTTTCTTTTTTTAATGATTTTATTATTTTCTTCTTTCTTTCCTTCCTTCTTTCTCTGGTTCCTTTTCTCTCTTTGTTTCTTTCTTTTTGAGACTGGGTTTTTCTGTATAGCCCTGACTATCCTCAGTCTGTAGACCAGGCTAGCTTACTCACAGATCTGTCTGCCTCTGCCTCCTACGTGCTGGGCCGCTACCATCTGGCTTTTGCATGCTTCGGTGCACGTGTGTCTGTACACGGAGGCCAATGTGGCCGTCAGGAAACTTTGTGGATTTGATCCCACTTTCCGTGTGGGCTCGGGGGATGGCGCTCAGATGGCCGGTGACAAGTGCCTTTACCCTCAGAACCATCGCACCAGTCCCTGCTTAATTTTGTTTGAGACAGGGTTGCAGGCAGCCCAGGCCGACTTCAAGGTCTCTCTGTGGTAAAGGATGACCTTGACTTTCCGATTTCTTGCCTCTACCTCCAGAACACACCATCATGCCTGGTTTATGTGGTGCTGGGGCTCAGAACCAGGGCTTTCATGCTAACTGAGCTACATACTCAGCTCTCCAGAGTACTCAGCCAAAGCCAGCATGGCGGTTTGAGGCCAGCCTGGTCTACATAAAGAGTTCTAGGATATCCAGGGTTAACTAGAGAGACATTATCTCAAAAAATAAAAGAAGTATTCACAAATATGTTTTTGAGTACAAGGCCAGGCTGGTCCTTACAGCTTGTCCTAGGTCAGCTGAAGCTAGAGAGACTCTGCTTTGTTTGTTCTGCTTTTTAAAGCGCATTACTTATTTTTGTGCTGCCGGCATAGGTCCCTCGGACCTCGTGAATGGTGGCAAGTATTCTGTCACTGAACTATATCACCTCAGCGCCTAGGAGATGTGGTCGAGCTCAGTGTCAACCCTCCTCTTCACTTCCAAGAGGCGAGGTGGGTAAAGATGAAAGTTCTAACCTTTAATCTTGTACTCATCTGTCTTCTCCAAACCAGAAGATGTCTGGGGCTCCACCTTACGTCACCTTACTAGAGTAAACTCAGCTGCTATCAAAGAGAGATGGGGTCATTATTTTTTAAATCAAAATAAACATATGTATGTGTGTGTGTGGAGAGAGAGAGAGAGAGAGAGAGAGAGAGAGAGAGACCTGGCTCTTTGCTTCCAGTGTGTGGGTTTCAAGATGGCATTCAGGAGCTCAGGTTTTCATGACAAGTGTCTCTACCTACACCACCATTGTGCTGGACCCAAAGGAAGACTTTAAGAATAGTGCTCCTCCCTTCCCCAGCACTGTACAAAAATCAAACAACACAGAGATTAGCAGGGCCTCTATGCAAGGATGACATGGAATTTTGCAAAACAGTCTGTATTTAAAAAAAAAACAATAATAACGATAGCCATTTCCATTTATCAGCAAATTCCAGTGGTTTTGTTATTACTGTTTTGGTTTTTTTTTTGTTGTTGTTGTTTTGTTTTAGTTTTTCTAAGACAGGGTTTCTCTATGTAGCCCTGGCTGTCTGGAACTCACTAGGTAAAACAGATCCATCTGCCTCAGCCTCCATGCGTTGGGACTAAAGATGTGTACCACTACTGCCTGACTTATTGTTATTTGTTTGGGTTTTTTGTTATTTATTTATTTATTGAAAAATAGTTTCTCTGTGTAGCCTTGGCTGTTCTGGAACTCAGTCTGAAGACCAGTTCAGGCTGGCCTTGAACTCAGAGATTTGCCTGCCTTTGCCTCCAAAGTGCTGGGATTAAAGGCGTGTTGCTGCCCCCCCCCCCCAGTTCTTTAATTTTAAAAGTTGTTAAAGTGGGCATGTGTATGCTGTGGTCCACGTATCGAGGTCAGAAGATAACTTCTGGGAGCCACTTCTCTCGTTCCACCTTGTGGCTCCCACAGATCAGCTCAGGGTGTGAGGCTTGGTAGTGATTGCTTCTACTCGCTGGCCCTCCAGGAGTGTCACTGTAAAGAACAGAACTGGGAACCAACACCAGCTAGATTTCACACCCGCAGGGATGTTCATGGAGCTGCGGCAGCATCATCACTTTCTTAAGATCCTTTCATACTTGCCCCCGCCCCTCAAAGAGTCCTGGACCCATTAGCAGCCATTCTCTCCCTTTTCTTCTGTCCACCTCCGAGGTCATCATCTCTTTTCATCTCTGTGTAGTTACCTATTCTGAACATTTTATGCGAGGAATACACACACCATGTGGGGTTTATGTCTGGGCTCTTTCACTCAGAATGATGTCATCAAGGTCTATCCCTGTCACAGCCTGTGTTAGTATTTTCTTCCCCTTCACAGATGTGTAACATTCTCCAGTGTGGACAGGCCACGTTTTGTTTATCCAGCCACCAGCTGAGGGCCACTAGTGCTGGCCCATTGCTGTGAGCACTGATTTGAATGGTGAAAAGAAAATGTTTGCATGGGCGTGTACACCCAGGAGTGAAATTACTAAGTCACGTGGCCATTGTACTTTCTTTTTTCAGACTCAAACTGGTCTTGCCTTCACCCTTCCAGGGCTGAGGCTACGGGGATGCAGCCCGTCACCCCAAACCAGGCTGCCATTATAACTTTTAATCATTTGAAAAACTGCCTGACTGTTTTCCAAAGTGGCTGTCATTTTATAATTTCAATGAGATATGAGGGTCTCACTTCTTTTTATCTCCTTTCCTTTCTTTTCTTGCCCTATGCCTTCATGCCGGGGTTCAAACCCTGAGCTTTGTGCATGCTGGGTAAGCATTCTACCTCTGAGCTGCAAGTCCAGCCGTTAAGCTTTGCAGGTCCTTTTAGGCCTGTATCACCCCTTGCTACAGCATCTTCTTTGTTTTAAACAGTTTGTACAGAGGGATCTCAGGGAGGTTCTGACATTTTTTGCTCTTTGTTGTGGTACTAGGACCAGGGCTTTGAGAATTCTAGGCAAGAGTTCTACCACTGAGCTATAATCATATTAGTTATTGCTTAAAAAGTTTTATTGGAACTAGAGAGAAGAGCTTGCCCTCAAGCCTGGCTTCAAGCTCCAGGATTCACAAAGTAGAGGGTGAGAATGAGTCCTGCAGGTGCTCTTGACTTTTACATGTGTGCTGTAGCGTGTCCATGCATGCATGAGATAAATGAACTCGGGATTTTTAAAGTCACACGTGTTTACAATTATGAGCATGCAAATACTCATAGGTGGCTGTACATGCATGTGTGTGTATGTGTGCACATTTGTGTATGTTCTTGTGTGTGCATTTGTGAGTGTGTGTGTGTGTGTGTGGTCAGTTTAAAGAGCTAATTTAGCTAGTCTACAGTTCCCAGTTATTCAATGAAACACTAACTGAGGTGTGGCTGTGCTGGCCTTTTGTAGATGTGATCACAGCCCAGATGAGCCGGTGGGTGTCTCTGACCTACTCGGTGAGAGGATATCCTTTCTGCCCCTGAATTACTCTTGGTACAGAGGAAGATCGATCATCTGCTTCCCATTGGATAAACTTTTGCAGGGCTTTTGTTCACTGCGTGTTTGCACGCGCACACACACACACACACACACACACACTGGCTGCAGCTAGCTCTGCTCTGCAGGGAGAGGGGGCCGCTACAGACAAGACCTTGCATGTTTAGACTGTGTGACTGACCCTTGAGTCATCCCAGCCCAGCATTTCTGTGCTTGCTTTCCTTGAACGTACAGAAAAAATGCCAAGTCATTCTAACTTGTAATTTCAGAAGACATTTCCTGCACGACATTGCCCAAGGCATGGTATCTTCCTGGGTGGAGGCAAGGCGGGCCCCTGTGGACTCTGGTTAGGGGGCCATGCTCTACGAGGCTGGGCTGGGTATGAGTGGTGCTACTCAGGGAGCTTTTAGGGAGGCTGGGCCCTGCCTCGGAGTCAGCTGGGCAGAGAAGGGAGAGATCTCCATCCTTGTCTCATTTCTGATAGCTCCTAGATTACCTTTTGCAGGACGCAGTGATGGAAGTATTTGCAATGTTCACATGGATATAAAAATGAGTTTTGTTGGGGCCTAGAGAGATGGCTCAGTGGTTAAGAGTGCTTGTTGCTCTTGCAGAGGACCTGGGTTCAGCTACCAACACTGGAATAGTAGCTCACAACCATCCCCAACCCCAGTTCCAGGGAATCTGATACTGTCTTCTGACTTCTGGGGACATTAGACACATATGTAGTATACAGATGTATGTGCAGGTAAAAAACTCATACACACAAAATAAAATAAATTAAAAATGTATTTTAAAAATGAATTTGGTTTTGTTTTGTGGGTGGATAGTCTCCAGGGCTGGTTGTTGAATGGCTGACAGTGGATGGCTAATGGTTATTTAGGGTAGTGCCAAAAAGCTTGGGAAAGAGTCAGGTAAGAAGGCTTAACTACTCCGACCCATAACCACCCCCGGGACACTTGGAAGCCATTGACAGTATCTTATTCATAACACCGGGGCAGAGACAGTGAGGGGATACATCAGACACCAGGCTCAGGTTCCTTAGCATGCCCCTTCTCAGAATCCTAACCCCAACTCTAGACCTGCCAATGATGTGTAGCCAGGCCCTGATCTGGTGGCTAGGACCAAGTACAAGCCTTTTCCCGGTGCCACTCCCGGTACAACGGAAGAGTGCTGTTGTGCTGGTCACCCAGGCCAGGGGCCTGCCATTACTGTCCCTTTGGTTTTTGGTTCATGAACTCACTCTGCATGCCATATGCCCCAGCAGCAGGAGGAGCCTGCTTGGGTTCTGAACTCTGAGGAGGTCTGCAGAGGGCAAGTTTCAGGCAGCACAGTGAGAGGTATGGAGCACTGGCTGCTCTTGCAGACCACCTGGGTTCGGTTCCCAGCACCCACATGGGGGCTCACAGCTACCTGTAGCTCCAGTTCTAGGGGGTCTGACACTCTCTGTTGGCCTCCATGGACTCCTGTGTGACATGGAACACAGACAGGCAGGCACACAGAAATATACGTAAGTAAAAGTAAAATTAAAAGGAATCCCTGTTGAGATTGCAGTTGAGAGCAAGCTCCCAGGAGGCGGTAACCATGGTCAGCAAGTTTTGTTTTTTTTTAAATTTTAATTAATTTATGTGTGTGTGTGTGTGTGTGTGTGTGTGTGTGTGTGTGTGTGTATGTGAAGCCCACACTGGCCTCAAGTTCACAATCCTCAGCCAGGCATGGTGGCACACGTCTGTAATCCCAGTACTCAGGGAGGCAGAGACAGTTGGATTTTTGAGTTCGAGACCAGCCTGGTCTACAAAGTCGAGGACAGCCAAGGCTATATAGAGAAAGCCTGTCTTAAAATCCCCACCCCCACCCCCCCAAAAAAAATTCACAATCTCCCTGCTTCAGTCTCCAAAATGTTGGGATTTCATTATACCCAGTACTTGGCTAGTTCTGAAATAACAGCAACAAAAATAATTCCTGCAACAAACTATGTCCACCTGTCATGAGTGAGGAGACGGCACTAAATTCATTTCAAACATGGCCGTGGCTGTGTGGGGCAGAGGGCTGCATCAGCACCAACCTCCTGCCTGGGTCTCAGTTTCTCTTTTAGCCCATGTGTCAGCAGGATGTTCTTTTTGGTTTAGGGCTGAGAATGCCCATGATAGACACTCCTTTATGAGGAGTAAGTGGAGGTAATCATGACAAGAGAAAAAAATGGGAGCTGCTCTAAAGTTAGCTGCAGGGTGCAGAATGGGAGAAAGGTGCTCAGATCCTACCCAAGCAAGCTCACTCAGGGGCTGGAGAGATGGCTCAGTGGTTAAAAACACTACCTGCTCTTCCAGAGGTCCAGAGTTCAATTCCCAGCACCCACATGGCAACTTACAACTGTCTAAAACTGTATGGGACCCAATTCCCTCTTCTGGTGTACAGCTATACATGCAAACAAAGCACTCACTCAAATACATAAAATAAATAATTCTTTTTAAAAAATAGGGACTTAGTTGAGCATGTGGTGGCACTCAAGCAGAGGCAGGCAGATTTTGGTGGGTTCCAGGCCAGCCAGGCTACACAGTGAGACCCTGTCTCAGAAAATCAAAACAAATATACAAAGAAGAATAGGGTATCATTGTGTAGCCCAGGTGGCCCTGTAATTCACTGTGTAGTCCAGGCTAGCTGCAAACTTGCAATCCCCCTGCCTCAGCTTCTGTAGGTCAGGGGTGACAGGCCTGAAACGCCATGCTCATTTAGGAGTTTATATTAGTTTACAGTTTTGGGCTAAATAAACAAAGAAAAAAAAAAGAAAAAATACTGCCCATATTTCTTTGCTGTATGTTGAAGTGTAGCCTTGAGAGCCACAGTTGGCTGCTGGGACTGCTCAGGGGGCCAGGTGTGTGCTGCGTAAGCTGACGACTTGAGTCAGAGAGCCCCAGGACTCATCTAAAGGAGGAGAACCAAAT